CCACCTTGCAGCATCTTAAGTGATTTTCTTTAATTATATTTTACATTTGTGACATTTCACAGAAACTATTCTGACTGACTGAATGTGGACTTTGGACATACATTTTGCATTTCTGCTGCACATTCTTTGCATTTTATTCCTCCCCTCTGCTAGCTACAGTTTTCAAAATCTGCTTCACTGTGACAAACGACAATTAGCTGAAAAAATGTCAAGTATTGCCTAAGATGTGGCTCTTGCGGGAAGTTAGGCCTGCTCTGTTCTTAACGAATTCATCATTTTCATGACACTGTTTGCCTCTTTAAGTAGAAATCCTCCCTATCTTTATCTTGCAGGGGCACCATTACTGCATCCTGGGCTTAGAACCAGACAATGTTATTGTAGTACAGTTGAAACCAGAAGTTTACATCCACTGTATAAACAGACAACTTTAAAAAAGAAAAAAATTCTCACTATCTGACACTAAATCAGAGTAAACGTTTCCTGTTTCAGATCAGTTAGGATTACCAACATTATTTATATTTGCTAAATGCCAGAATAATGAGAGAGAGAATGTTTTAGAGAATTTTTTATTACTTTCTTCAAAGTCAGAAATTTACATCCATCTCCTCAGTATCTGGTAGCGTTGCCTTTAAACTCTATGACTTGGGTCAAACGTTCTGGGTTTCCTTCCACAAGCTTCTCACAACAGTCTGATGAGTTCTGGCCCATTCCTCCTGACAGAACTGGTGGAATTGAGTCAGGTTTCTCCAGGATTGAGATCAGGGCTTTGTGATGGCCGCTCCACAACACTGACCTTGTTGTCCTGAAGTTTCTCTGTAACTAATCTGGCGCTATGCTGTGGGTCATTGTCCATCTGAAGACCCATTAGTGCCCAAGCTTTAACTTCCTGCTGATGTCTGGAGATGCTGCTTCAATATTTCCACATCATGTTCTTTCCTCATGATGCTATCTATTCTGTGAAGTGCAGCAGAACACCTCCACAGCAGGATGCTGCCACCCCCGTGCTTCACAGTTGGGATGGTGTTCTCAGGCTTCAAGCTTCCCCCTTTTTCCTCCAGATGTAACGATGGTCATGAAGGCCAAACAGTTCAGGTTTAGTTCCATCAGACCACAGGACATGTCTCCACTAATGAAGCTCTTTGTTCCTGTGTGCATTTACAAACTGCAATCTGGCTTTTTAATGTTTCTTCTGGAGTGATGTCTTCTTCCTCTCTGAGCATCCTTCCAGCCCATGTCGGTACAGGACTGATTCCACTGTGGATAATGACTCTCTGACCAGCTTCAGCAGCATCTTCACAAGGTCTTTAGCTGTTGTTCTGGGGTTGATATGCACATTTCAACCAAAACATTTAATCTCTGGGACACAGAACCGTCTCCTTCCTGAGCCTATGATGGCTGGACATTCCCATGGTGGTTATAGTTGATATAACTGTTTGAACAGATGAACCTTCAGGCATCAGGAAGTTGTACCCAAGGATGAACCAGACTGGTGGAGGTCCACAATTCTCTTCCTGATATCTTGACTGATTTCTTTAGATTTTCCATGTTGTCACTAGAGGAAGCAGCAAGTTTGAGGTGTGCCTTAAGATACATCCACAGGTGTGCCTCCAATTAACTCAGATGTCAGTTAACCCATAAAAAGCTTCCAAAGCCACGACATCATCATCTGGGCTTTCTCAAATAGTTTGAAGGCATATTAGTGGATGTAAACTTTTGACCTTGAAGAAAGTAATAAAAATTCTCTCTCTCATTACTCTGGCATTTAGCAAATAGAAATAATGTTGGTGATCCTGACTGACCTAAAACAGGAAAAGTGTAATCTGACAGTGAGAAAAAAAATGTTTTATGTCTTTTTATACCGTGTATGTAAACTTCTGGTTTCCACTGTTGGTTGTATTTATTTATTTATTTATTGGTCCACTTGTCCCTTAAGAGAACAAAATCACAACAAATCAATAAAACGTTGTTCTGAGTGTTCACATTCATTCTGTGGTGAAATCCATGTGACCTCCATCCACTGGTCACGAGGATTCACTGAACGTTTTGATGAACATGATGAGAATCATATTTTATCGCCTTCAGTGACCAGATGTCAACACCTGAGTCTTTGCATCACACATTAGCATTCTGGTGAATTTCTACGCCCCAGTTTGTTTGTTCCTTTTCTGCACCCAGTCATGGTGGAAACGTTTGTATGTTTGCAACGTAAAACACAAAATTCACACACAATAAGGGAGTATCTTTGGGAGATGTTGCGTTTGTCCCTCCAGGAGAGTTCAGAGACTTGGAGAATCAGCGTTCAGAAGCATTTCAGCTGCTGGGGTGTCGCCCAACACCTTAAAATGACACTTTATGATGATTTTTCCTTCAATCTGTCATTTGTGTCTGTATGGTTGCTGTTGATTGTATGAACTTTCCTAGTAAGGACCAGCTTGCACCTCAAACATGTTTTGTCGTTCCTATTAAAATCTTTCAGTTTTCCTCCATGTGCACCACTCCAACTGACGAGTACTTTCTTCTGTTTCCTTTTCAGGAAGAGGCTAAGAAGAAGAGTTCGGACATTAAAGAATCTATGGCTGCAATCAAAGGTGAGGCGGCTCTTTGTTTCGTTTTTACTCAGGTGATATCAGAGATGTCAGTTTGCTTCGGATAAACCGGAGAAAGAAATTTAGAAAAGACAGAGGGTGGCTCATCAACCGCTCTTTGCAGATGTCCTGAGAGATTCCTGTAGATTCCTGAGATAACTGACTGGTTGAAAATGGATGACAGCAAACCAGTGGAACCAGATGTGACAACATGCCGACGTCCTTTTGTTTTCTGTCACTGATTTACAAGTGAAGGCAGGTTTAAAAGGCATGCTGTCTTTACAAAAACAAATATGAAACTGTAAAAACGGCAAGAATCATCACTGGGTTTTTAACTTTGGGACGGTCTGCCAACTACTCTTACAATGTGCATTTCTGTTGGTAAAATAGATCAAATATAAGCTTAAAAATGGGATTTTTCATCACAGTCACTTTATTCATCCATCCATCTATCCATTATCTATACACCGCTTAATCCTCACAAGGGTCGTGGGGGGCTGGAGTCTATCCCAGCTGACTCAGGGTGAAGGCAGGGGACACCCTGGACAGGTCACCAGTCTATCACAGGGCCACACTTAGAGACGGACAACCAAGCACACTCACATTCACGCCTACAGACAATTTAGAATCACCAATTAACCTCAACACGTTTTTGGATTGTGGGAGGAAGCCGGAGAACCCGGAGAGAACCCACGCTGCACGGGGAGAACATGCAAACTCCACGCAGAAAGATCCCAGGTGTCCTCACTGGGACGCAAACTGGCGACCTTCTAGCTGCGAGGCGACAGTGCTAACCACCGAGCATCCTTGCAGCCCTCAATCACTTTATCCTAATTTAAAAATTAACAAAAAATAAGTACATTTTCTAACCATATTTTTGCAACCTGTAAATTCAAAGCGACTCAGTTGCAATCAACTGTCATGTGACAAAAATTCAGGGACTTTGCGGCTGAACTGTGTATTTGCAAAGAGCAGAGAGGAGACAAATATGGAAACTAATTAAAAATATAACTTGTAAAACATCTGTAATATGTAGAGTCACCATCTTTCCCCCCAGTATTGGTGACGCCTGACGACTTGGAAAAATGTGGTGCACATTGATTCAATTTTTCTTAATTACAGAATCAAAGAAATTCAACTATCATTTTCTTTTCTTTCAAAAAAACCTAAAGATGTATGGCATTAAAAATGTGCCATACTGCACAGAAGACATTTCTGAGTTTCTGAGTTTCCATCGAGGTGCAGGACTTTAAATTGGAGTAAGAAAATGAGCCCACAGTGATGAAAAATGTGATAGAAGCAGTAAACTATCAGCTGCCATTAATGTTTCTTTGCCTTAATAACTGTCAAACTGTTTTTCTGCCCAAAATCTCCAAATTTCTAACATGAATTACATAACTTCTCAGTTTGCGCCGTCATGTCTTCATGTTTCTTCCCGTTATTTTCTCAGCTGAACACGAAGCGGCTAAAACTAAAGCTCAGCAGGACATTCAGAGTTTGAAGCAGCAGATTCTGGACAGAGACAAAGCCATCTGTGCCTTTGCAGACACGACCAAGGAGGAAGCACGGTAACATCTCAGACAGCTGCTGACGGATAAAGAGGGTGTAATCAATCAGACAGCTCCGGGCCTAACAGGACAATGCAGACATATCCTTTACAAACAGGCTGGAAGAGTAAAGGGCTGCACAATATGTTGTTCCAGCATCAGGTTTACATCGAATTACCTCAAACACATCATGCTGTAATGTTTTTTGATGCTTGATGCAAAAACAGCTCATACAAGTCTCCTTTTCCATGACTAGTCTGCAAGAGAAGTCTGTCTGATCATTCACTCAAATTTAAAGAGTTTTTTCTCAACTTTATTTAAAAGCCACAACGTTTGTTGACATGCAGGCTTCACGTGTGCACAGCAAATGAGTGAGAAACAGAAGAAAAGCGCTGAAAATGACGATTTGGTTGCAAAAAGAAACACAAATTTCACATCATGCCTAATAATGTGAACCGATGGGGACTAGAGGCTGCTCTGTGCACAGCTAGCTTCTGCATGTGAAGCATTTAGGGAGCACTTTTATTCATATTCAGCCTCTAGGAGATGCACTGATGTCAGGATTATATTGAGTGTTTTTTGGATGCAGATCTGAAGCAGGAATATAGCACAACAGGGAAGTGAAAGTGACGCTCTGTTTATTGAAATGTGAAAGTGCAATGCAAATATCTTGCCTGTGATATTAACGAATAGCAGTGACCTTTATATTGATTATTATCATTTTAGCTGTTATCTTGCAGCCCTGGCCAATTATATAGACATTTTTCAGTTACAGAAAACATAAACTGGTTCTCTGTCTGCAGCCCAAAGCTCTGTATGATGAATGCAAAGTTAGATCTGGATGCAATGCAAGGCAAAAAATGCTATTTTGGGCACCTTTGCCAGTGTTTCTCTACATGAGAAAAGTTTCTTTTTTTTTTTCAACCTTTTTAAATATATTTCTTTTACTTTCTATGCAGATGCACTCCCCTACAAAATTAATACTTTATCAATTAAGTTTTTCAAGTCATCTGATGAAAACTTTTCAATAAATATATCACAGAAAACTACATATTGCAGTGTTGTCCACCTCTAGTAAAGACCAAGGCGGCTTTTTCACATCTTCTCGTTGACTAAAAGTTGTCATTTCTGTTCTTGATTTTTGCAGGAAGCTGTGTGGAATTGCAGCGTAACCCCAACGAGCTCAACACTAGAACCGCTGACTGTGAACTCTTTCGAAAAGATGCATTCAAGTACATATTTAGCAATGCTCTTTTAGTTCTGCTAGTTTCTTATGAGATATGTGTTAAAAAGTGGGTTGGGTAAAGAATGTCTGTGGAGTGGGGAAATGTTTTCACGTCGATTTGTACGGTGATTGTGCTAGAACCGGTTTGGCCTTTTGTCTGTGTAAAACACTTTGTAGTATCCTCAAATAAATGGTCGTCACCCAGACTTGTTACCAGCAATAGCTTCAGATGAGATACATGAGCCTTGATGCCTGAAGCGTTTACAGTAGCTGTGCTTGTTTGCCCAGGAGTGAAACCTGAGAGATCGTCATAACCAGGAAAGTACAAGATCATCAAATAATCTCTGAGCTCCACATTCACTGGAGTAACATTTTTAGGCTTTGTGGAAATATAAATTATTTTGGGTGTTTGAGTGTAAAAATACTGTTTGAATACTGAATAAATGGGACAATATAATCTTTCTAACATTGGTTTCTGGCTTTAAACTATGAAGTCTTGCCTGGTTGAAAAGCTTTCTGCTGTCGTCTCCTGATTCAGAGAAACTCGATCGACTGGTTGAGCTGCTGAGCCACAACCAATAAACTTACAGAGCAAGAAAGAAAACCTGTACAGATGTACGAAACACTATGTTCATCTCATAACCGATAAGTTGGAGAGACTGAATGATAACAGCTGATGCTCCTCTCACTCCCCCTAGTGCAGAAACGAGGATCAGGAGTGACAGTGTGACTGCAACAAGTGCACCGAGTCACTTCCTGCATGAACAGGTTGATGTCTGGAGGGACAGTATCTGTGAGTGCATTAAAGTTGTAACAAAACTGCTGGAAGGCAGAATTAAAACATGATTTATATATTATTCCTGTGATGTTATTCTTTTATTTTATTACTGCATAAAACTTTTGTGTCACTGGTGATGAGCATTTTGTAAATATTTTAACTACAAACATTGTTTGCCATGGATCAGTGCTCTTAGTCACTCTGCTGTTGATTCATATTTTAAATGTCAGATTAAGAAATGTGGTAAAGGCTTATTTACATTAATACTTGTTTTTTTGTTGTTGTTTTGTTGTTTCTTTTAGAAAATAGTTAATGAATAAGATATTTACCAGAAGCTGTATTTGCCTTTACTTTAACACTTTACACACAGCAGCTTTGAACGCATTTTGTTTGAGTTGTTGAGAGCCAGTTGAACTTGCTCTGCACGTTCAGGCTGACAGTTTCTTGGTTGTTTGTTTGTTTTGTTTTTAAAAAACAAAAGTTGGTTACACACAGTTACGACAATGCATCTCTGTGCAGCAGTTAAAACCACGTTCAAAGAACATTAATGTAACCAAAACACTTGATTTATATGTCAGGAAAAGCTCTTGTACTATCCACATAGTAATTGTACAGCAACCACTAATAAATCAGTTAATTTGCAAAATTAATAATATTGTAGGGTGTTCATCTTAATATTTAATATAATCTGAATTTTTATATATTTTATTTATTATTCTGATTATTATTTTTATATAATATTGCAGGGGGTCTTAACATTAGAACTCAGGAGTTCTAAAAATTTAGCTTAATGCTATAAACTCTATATGCAAAACAGATGTTTTCTTTGTAAAAAAGCATGGTCCTTGATCAAATAAATAAAAATAAAATATATTCAAATCAGTCAAGTAAATTTGTTTAAGTAATGATATTGTAGGGTATTAAACTTAACATTTAATTTTGTCATTACATTTAAAAAATGTGTATTTTATATAATGTGGTTGGGGTTTGACTTTAATATTTGTATTACTCACATCCACACAATAAATCACACTGTAGGGTCTTAACCCTAATATCTAAACTTGCTAAGTACAATCATGACTTTGTTCTGGCTTTGTGTTTGGAAAGCATTTTGGCTCAAAGTGTGTTATTTTAAATATTTAGTGTAGTATTTTTCAGAGCTATTTAACTGGTGCTTATATATTCAAGATTTAAGAATCAAAATTTGTACACTTTTTTTTTTTTTACAATTTTATTTTTTATCATAATCTATTATAGCACTGCAATTTTAGTTTAATTGACATTATACATATATATATAATTTCATAATTCTATAAGGGTTGTAAATTCGTTTTCGCACGTGGTTGCAAAGTTTTGTAAGTGTACTGTTGGTTGCCATGGAAACTTGGATATTTCAGGAAGTCGCTCTCCTCCCACAGCCAATCATGTTGAAGTTGTACAGCACATGACCTGAGTGACGTCAAGCAGGAGTAACGCATGCCGGAAGTTGACAGCGGCTGGTGACTCCTGAAAGTCACCGGTAAATTGACGGAGAGAGATTCACCGGGGCGGGTCGGTGTTCAATGAGATAACGGAACACTACCGGGAGTTAAACGTGAGGTAGAAATGTTACAGAGCGGCTCGGGTTTTACTGTAGTATCGATAAAGTAAAGTCAAATAAGAACTACCGTGTTGTTTTTTTGTTTTTTTTTACGGCGCTAGCAGACTAGCTAGCAAACGTGCGCAGCGTTACATCATTTTTTGTGACTCAGGAGAAAAGCAGCTCTGACAGAAAGATGGCAACGAACCTCGGTCGAATATTCAGGAGCTTCCAGAGCCTCGGTTCGGTTTCATTCATGAAGACTCAGCTCGTCCTCCCGCCTGCCAGCAGCTCATTCAGGACCAGCTCTGTTTGCTCCATACTGGTTGGTACAATAACGAACTGGACCCTTCTCCCTTTTTCCAGGGCTGCCTTTGTATGAAAATGTACAGTAATGCTTACAAAAGAGCAGATTCCCATAATGAAGGCATAGAATATAATGCACATGATCAGTAATCCTGCTTTTTCCTTTCAGCCATGTTTGCCAGGGGGGTACTCATTTCACTATATGTTTATTTTTAAGGTTGAACTTTGCAGCACTAGTCTGCATAACATCAAACATGTCTCATAATTATGTGTTTAACCAGATCACACATAAGAGGGACGTCAACATAACTTCACTGCAACTTTAAAATTAATCCTCTCTGACTGTTTAATTAAAAAAAAAACAACAACTGACCGGTGTTGTTTATTAAGTACACCTACAAAATCTAATGCAAGCTTTCATGTTTTTAGTTTCATTACTGTGATATTTTCTATTTTGTGTTTATGACTGAGGTCACAGTGGTTGGTAGTGGTGTTACCGGACTGCATTAGACTTTAGATAATATTTGGCCCTGGGCATGTATGTTAATGTGGTGGACAAAATATTAGAAACACCTTCAAATATAATGCACTTTAGCCACACAGCGTGACCTCAATAATGAATAAAAAGTAGAATTATCACCTTTATGACAACGTCAGCAAAATAGGAATATGTAGAAGCTTCATAAAAGTAGAAATAATGTCGGAGCTGTTGCACTGGATTGCATCAGTGTACCTAATAAAGTGTCCAGCATGTGTTTATTGACCAACTTGTGTAGTTTAGTTAAAATATGTATCTTTATTTTGTTGTTCATGGTTTGAATATATATGGGGTTTATTTTCATTTTAAGTTGCAGTAATTTTTTAATGTGTATTCATGTTTCTAGAGAAATGCACTCAGAACAGTGCTCATGTTGCATTCAGTTTCTTTGGTAACTTTAATTAAAACCTTAATTCAGCATCTGCAGACAGCTTCAAACAAACAGGCAACAAAATGAGCTTTTTAAAACAAGTAGAAACAGGAAGCACTAAATCTTTTATCCAGCCAAGGTTACACACAAGGACGCGAGTTACTTATTATCCTTATCCGACGGCCACAACAGCATCTATGAGCAGCCTTTTAGGGCCTCTCTTTATCGGGCTCTCGGCATAAAAGTTGTACAAAGTTGATGGAGACACGTTTCGGCTGTGCAGAGCGGTGGGATGAAGGTCCTGGACAGGTTGAACTGCTGGCAAAGGTCAAGAAGTTGAGCAACGACTGAGCTTTCTGAAGCATTTACAGAGTAATTACTGCAGCGTTTAGGTGTAGTCTCTGGTCCTCACTGTGTACCAGCACATACCGGTAGTTACTGGTTAAATCTACACAGATGTTTATTGTGTTATTAGAATGTACAGTTGAAATCAGAAGTTTACATACACTGTATAAAAAGACATAAAACTTTTTTTTCTCACTGTCTGACATTAAATCAGACTAAACGTTTCCTGTTTTAGGGCAGTTTACCAACAGATTACCAGATTACCAACATTATTTCTATTTGCTAAAGGCCAGAATAATGAGAGAGATTTTTTTTTTT